GAGTAATTGGCTTTTTTCTATGGACTTTGTAGAGTGTCTACTAGTATTTTTTAGATGTGCTTGCTATTTCTGTGGTAGTATGAACTCATATATTGTTCTTTGAATTGGGATTGCTGTGTGGTCCAAAAGAGAAGTTTAGGAGGGGTTCTAAGATTATGTTGAAATCTCCTGCTAGAATGAGAGCACAGCATGTGGCAGATTGCCAATGTCAAGGTTAGCACTTAATGTGCTATATATGGCCACCATGGCACTAAGCCCATTAGGGGGTATTGTTGTCCATGTTCTGATGTCTTCAGTGTGAAAGGCAATGCTTGGCATTGTCCCTGAAAAAAGACAGGTACATTGGGAAGCAGAGATTAACAGAGCCACAGACAATATGCTCAGTTAAAGAGGTACATATGTACCACTTATCTTAAAATGACTCTAAACTCAGAAGTTAAATCTTAAAAATGCATTCAAGTACCTTAACTATTAACAAAAATGTACCTTATTTGTGTATCACTCAGCTCTAGATACTCAAGCCATCTCTGAGTTCATGCTAACACTGTCCTTCCTCCTGGAGGGTGGCTACTTTTGTTCCCCATGGCCCCTTGTGTGTTGAAAAGTAGCCACCAGTCCAAGCTCGCTCCCGTGATGGACAGCACTCTCACATTTAGTTTACTAATTTGTATTGAGATTGTTGCCCATCATAAAAGCAAGCTTGGAGTGGTGGCTACTTTTATTCCCCGTGGTCCCTGTGTGTGTTGTAAAGTAGCCACCGCTCCAATCTCACTTCCGTGATAGACTACAATATCACTACAAATTGGTAAACGAAACATGAGATTGTAGTGCATCACGGGAGTGAGCTTGGTGCGGTGGCTACTTTACAACACACACAGGGACCATGGGGAACAAAAGTAGCCACCCTCCAGAAGGAAAGACAGTGTCAGCATGAATTCAGAAACGATTTGCGGATTTACAGTGGAGTCACACAAAAATAAGCTAATTTTTGTTAATAGTTAAGGCACTTGAATGCATTTTTTAAGTGACACTAAACTCAAGCCTTAAATCTTAAAAATGCATTCAAGTACTTTAACTATTAACAAAAATGTAGCTTTTGCATGCCAGGAGTCAGTCCACATCTCCAACACATTGGGGAGGTCTGAGTGCCCGCCTGTTTAGATACACTGGGTCCCTGTACCATGGAGCCAGGAGTTTAAAATTGCTCTCTAAAATATTAGTATTTATGAAAGATGTGTTAAGAGAATTTTGGTTCAGTGCTCACCAGAGAGTTTGTGGTACAATTCCTGTTACCAGTGGCCAAGTAGTTGGGGGGTGGAGGGGAAGTTTGTATGTGCAGCTGTTAGGAGCACTTTATACAGCAATGAGATGCCATGAGAGGGACCAGCTGCAGGCAGGAAGATCTGCTCCATGATATTAAGTGAATCTATGTCAGGCAAAAGTTGTGGAATACTCTTGACCAAATTACAGATTTGAAATAATCTCCAAAAGTCTAGGCCCCCCACTTGTCTCCTAATTATGAAAGGTCACATACCCTGCCACTTTTGGTTACATGGTGTAGTTGCAACAGGCCCTTGGTTGTCCAGTGTCAGAAAGCCCTTGTGTCTAAACCTAGAGGGAATCGGCGATTGTTCCAGATTTTAATGGTAGTTGGCAGTCATGGGGGGCTGTGGTAGGAAGCACGATGCTGTGTCCAAAGCAGTTTGCTAAGTTTTTGTCCCACCAGAGCTTCCTCAACATCCACCCATTGCTTTTGTCCATTCCAATGTTTTATTAGGTAATGGGGCTTCATAATATTTTCTGATATCTAGGAGGCCCCTTCTTCCATTAGGTTTAGTTCTGGATAGTACATTGAATTAGAATTGAAGAATCTAGGTCAAAATAGCCAAACCACAAAAATTCTGCCATTTAGCTTACTTTGCTTCAACTGCTGTTTGGTTCGTTAAAAAAAAACAGTTTTCTCCTTTGCAAGCATTTTCTTATAAAAATTGGCTATTGTTTCAGAGGGTTATACAGTATTTTGGGATTTTAAAGCCTCGCGTTTTTTTGCATATATCTACTGCTAATAAGCAGTAGATATATGCAAAAAGATTAATATAGGAATTAAGAGGCTGAGTAGCAGCCATGTGCTGCTAATCAAATGCCCTTAATTAATTGATCATCAACAAGTGTGACCGCCTCTATAAAAGCCAAAGTTTTATCAGTTATCAGTTTACTGCTTACTAGCAGTAGATATATGCAAAAAAAAAAGAGAGTTTAATTCTGCTTTAAGAGAGCTGCTAAATAATTGCCCTCGAGCCTCAATAAACTGAAACAAAATTGCAAAGAAGAGTGGGACAAAATTCTTCCACAATGATGTTAGAGACTAATCAAGTCCCACAGAAAATAATTACTTCAAGTTATTGCTGCTAAGGCTAGATTCACACCTAGGCGATACCTCACTGTGAGGCAATCGTGCACGATTCAGCGCGGATTGCCGCGCGGTCAGGAGTCAAGTGTTAACCGATCGCGCTGTGGGTGCCATTATTTTCGAATGGCACCCCAGTCGCGCCGGGTGGGTTGCACGGTTTCCCGCTGTGATTCCGCCCGTGCTTCCGAACACGATCACAGCTAAAACAGCCGCGCGTCATGTATAGCAAAAAGAATGTACTTGTACCTTTTTTCTGCAAATTCTGTGCGGATGTCACCCCATTGAAATCAATGGGGCAGCGTGGCAATCGCTGCCTGCATTGTGTAGGACGGCACGGCACCCGGGACGCGCGTCCCAGGTGTCGTGCGGTGTAGTGCAGGTGTGAACCTAGCCTAAAGGTGGTTCTACAAGCTATGAATCATAAGCTGTCGTTAGTTTTTTCACACAGGGCTTCTCCATTTTGGCTTTATGTTTGTAAAATGTCATCTGAGGTTGTATTTACTTCATCTTAAGACCTGCTAAGGACCAGATGATTTTGATTTTGACCTGATACTTAAAACGATAGAATTCAAGAAGGATGTACTTTATTTTTTACATGACTGTAAAAGTTAGACAAAGACTGGTTAGACGTATTCTTCATGATCAAAATTGCCCTTCGACTGGACAATATTGCACTGCTTTATCATCCGTGCTTTCACTTATTCCTCGTAGTAAATCCCTTGCCTGTGGAAAGAGTCTTGTATAATGTAAGAGATGCATCCTAGAAACTTTGTTGAAGTTTTTTAGGCTGTAGCTCTTACATTTAACAACCTGCTGTACCATCAAGAATTTTTTTTTTTTTTAAACCTGCTGTACCATATTTTAACAGTGCTCAGCTTGTCAAATCTTTTTTGACAATAGCTTGCTTAATAGCCCTAAAAATGGCCAGAATTTACTGACAAGATTACACCATAGATTTCAATGGGATGCACCTCTAAGCTTGGAGTCTCCAAATTTCAAATAGGATTCAACATACCCTCAGGGAATTTAACCCAAGCAAATGTTCTTATCCCTAAAAAACACCCATGCTGGTATCTTGACTTAAAAACCAGAGAAGACAAACATCTGAGCAGCCCTTAGGCCTTGTTCACACCAAGCGCGTTCCAGGAGCAGAGCAGTTACAGACCAGATCAAAACTGTGTCCCATGTATTCCAATGGGATTTTGGGCTCTAGTTCACACTGCAGCGTTCAGTTCCAGAGCATGTAAAAAAAAAACTGCAGCAAGCCCTATTTTACCTGCTCTGGAACGCATGCAAATGCATCAAAAACGCATGCAAACACACTGGAACGCACTGAAAGCCCATTTTAAACTAAAAATAAACGGCCCGGAATGCATCAAAAACGTGACAGAAACGCACTGCACTTCGTGTGCAGAAATTCATGCAGATCTGCTCTGCATTTGGTGTGAACAAGGCCTCATGCAACTATTCCCTGCACTGCACAGAAACTGTAGAGAAATACAAGGTGTTTGTATGAGCATATTAAACAGAATCTGCCACCAAGAAAAAATAGATATTGTAACAGCTTATTAGTTAGTCAAACAGTTATTGAAGCAGTTCACTTGTCAAACTAAGCTGTATTTTCTTGTGAGCCTGGCGGTGTCTAGATTATTGTTACAATTGGGTTGACCTACTAAAGGAATGGAGACTGTACACTTAGCAAAGTGAAAGTTCATAGCTTAGTAAATAAAGTTAAACTTTGGTTTTGCTTGAATACCCAAAACAGACTGCAGCCAAAGATAGCAGGTAAAGTTGTGTTTTCAAAAAGAGATAATCAGTGACAAAATAGTTATTCTGTGACACATGAAACGGTTTTGCTTTCAGTTTTAATCAAGCTATGCAAACAGTTGTAATCAAATGATTTCATCACTGAAATATGATTACAGGCTAGCTATGTATTTAATTTATTTAAATTAATTTACCAGCCTTGCCCTTAGTCTTCTACATTTTCACTTCAACAATAACATATTTTGGCTGCAGTCTAACAGATCACATCAGAGCAAGGGGGCAGCCAAGCCCTAGGGAGCTCTGCTCACTCAGACAGTGCAGTGTTGCTGCCTATAGAGAAAGCTCACTCCCCACACTCTCCCTCCACCCATTAGCTTGTTAGAAGGACACATTTGTGATACTTCGGTGAGAGAGGATGCTGTTGGATTAAAGAAGCAATGAAATGTGATAAATGAAAAAGGAATGAACAGATAATCTTAGGAGGTACAAGAAGTGAAGAAAATAAAGCCGCCTGTGGAATGTTACCCGATATGACCATTTGGATGTGACGAAGCTTGAAAAATCAATACTAACGCATAAAGGACGAATCAACTTTCTATGGAAAAGGGGTAATTGATTCTATAGCCCAGCATTAATGTTTTATACTGACCCGCCTGGGTAATAATTATTTTCTAAAGGAAATAGATTTAAGAAAAATCTTCTTTTCTAATAAATAGAACTGTAGAGGTCAACGGGAAACACTGATTGGAAAGCATTTTTTTTTAAAATGTATATTCTTTTTATCTAAAAAAACTTGTGCAACTGTTTTTGGAGAAAGCTTTTCATGGAGGCATATTTGCGAATTGGTTTATATTGGCTTGTATTATGGGATTCTTTTTTGGTGACTGCAAGAACCCCAAACACAAAGGCAGGTTTGGCAGAAGAGACAATCCAAGGTACATATAAACCACCCATGCCAACAGAGTTACCAACAGAAGCTGACCGATGCAGGGGATACTATGATGTAATGGGTCAGTGGGACCCACCATTTAACTGCAATGCCAGCAGTTATTTGTACTGCTGTGGTACATGTGGATACCGCTTCTGCTGCCAGTTCAAGCATGGGAGGTTGGACCAAAGCATGTGTTCAAACTATGACACCCCGAACTGGGCAAACCCTGATAAGCCACCTGCCCGAGGAGATGAGTCAACTGATGACCCCAGCAAGGACAAGACCAACATGATTGTCTATATTATTTGTGGTGTGGCTGCACTGATGGTATTGATTGGGATCTTCACCAAATTGGCCGTGGAGAAGACTCAGAGGCCATCAACTGAAATGAATGTTTCTAGGTAAGCAGACAAGGCAAGTACTAGTGTAGTCTTGCCTGCATTTTTAATGATTTCCATGGGCTCTCTGCTGTAGAGTTAAAGTTTGTAAGTCACACACAATACAGTGTTAAAGGACCCAAGGGCACTGTATACAGTACAAAGAGATGTTCATAAAATGTGGTGCTTCAAGAAATGTTTACTTAAAAGGTATAAAACATTTATATATGCTAATTATTAGTTATGGCAGGCCCAGGATCCCTCCTGCCATATGACAGGAGGAATATTGTACTAATGTTAGCAAAGAGGCAAAAATCACTGGAGAAAAATCTTTAAAGTCTAAAACTATTCCTGGAAATCAGGGACAGCTGACAGCCAGGAATTTTGCTAGGGTCCTAATAGACCTGGGATCACCGACCTAAACTATTGTGGGCTTTGTAGAATGCTGCAATATAAAGTGCGAACAGGTTTGTTGTCTCCATCTCTGTATCCTCTCTCTTTGTTCTTCTTCCTGATTCCACTGCACTATTAGAACCACAGACACCGGAAAATTGGACTTCATACTTACCGCAATTTTCCTTTCCTGTCGGCTCCATGTCAGCACATGGATTGTGTGCTGACATGGAGCTGACAGGGAAACCGGAAAATTGGACTTCATACTTACCGCAATTTTCCTTTCCTGTCGGCTCCATGTCAGCACACAATCCATGTGCTGACATGGAGCTGACAGGGAAAGTAGTCTTATGCCAGAGACCCAGGGCATGCAAAAGGATACTCAAAAGTACCTTGCAGATTTCCTTGCTTCCAAGGAATATGCACATACCCAAAATTGACAGTAGTTTCCAGCAGTATCAATAACTAAACTCTCACAAAAGAATGTCTAGTTTTGTTAAAGTGACACTAAACTCAGGATTTAAATCTTTAAAATGCATGCAAATACCTTAACTACTAATTAAAATGTATCTTATCTGTGCATCACTCAGCTGGCCATCCTCAAATGATCTCTTAATTCAAGGTGACACAGTCGTTCCTTCTGGAGGATGGCACTACAAATCCCAGCAACACATTATACAGCAACACAAAATAATATGAAGCTACATACTCTGTGTTCTGGGGTGGTGTCCTGATGTCTCCAGGGTTTTAGGTGGCCTGTGAGGGCTCTCAGGTGGCTGTGCGGACTCTCAGGTGAGTTATGCAGGCTCTCAGGTGGGCTATGCTGGCTCTCAGGTGGGCTGTGTGGGAAGCGCGGGGGTCTCACCAGGGGTCTGGAGGCAGGCAGCATGCTATCAGGAAGGAGCCGGAGAAGGATGAGAAGATGTGCGGGCCGGCCTGTATCAGTTTACAGGCGCCCGGCTCACAAGATGACGATTCAGGCAGATGCAGCTGCCTGAGGTCCCACACTTGCTGGGGACCTCAGGCAGCCGCATCTGTCAAGAAATTTAAAGTGCCAGTATCGGCACTTAGTGTCTTGTGTCCGGGTGCCAGCTGGCCTGACACCCGGACATAAGACTCAAAAAACCAGACTGTCTAGTGGTATTAGGCGTGAATTCAAAATCTGGATTTTGGATAGGGTAGGGAATAGCTAAATGTCAAACATGCCAAAATAGATTTTTTTGGGGGGAGTGAAAAAAAAATGGGGCTCATACACATTTATATATTGGCAGAGAGAAGATGGAAAATATAGGATGAAATGGGAAGATGTATCATGATTTGTTACCCTTGGTGATTCATCTCCTTTAAGCCAGTCAGGTTTTATGACACAAAATGGGGTTACCTGTCATTGTTTATCCACTAAATCTGCAACAAACTGAAGGCACTCGCTTACTTAACTCCTATTCTGACTCAGATTGTTGTGATAGCGATATATCCCTTGCTGAGACCTCTGTGCCTGGCCTGTATAAGCAGATACAATCTCTGTGGACAATCCTCATCAGATAGCTGAACTCACCAAATACCGTTTCCATCCACAAAAGGTGCTTTATTCTGAACATCAGATGACAGGATACAACAGATGAATGAATTGTGGTATTTATGCGGTAAAAAAATGATGCTTTCGTAGCGTACTGTGCAGAATACACGTGTCCCTGTTACATGTGGCCTGTTAGCTGTGGCCATGACACAGGAAGTACTGATGAGGAAGAAGGGTGGAGCATATACAAAGGAAATACATCACAAAGGGAACACAGAACATGTGCATTACCACAAAGGGTCACTAGATGGCAGCATGTGAACTAAATATAAAACGTCCATAGGAAAATGGTACAAAGAAAACAACTATATAAATTCTCATATATACTAATGTAAATATTAACTGAGGCTATGCATCTCAAATTCATGCCCCATTGGGGCGGCACACCTCCCATTAGAGGCCACTGATATTTGGGGTTCCTCACCAGTTACCTTACTGGTGTCTTCCTGGAGTCGTATATGCTGTGCCTATGCACACACCTAGCACCGTTGGCTGGCAGACATCTATCCCTACTTTTGGCCAGGTTTTAGCTACACCTACAACTTTCAATGCAGCTGTCACTAGTGGGGCAATACAAGGGATTAATGAGGAAACCGGAATTTTTTTTACAAAGTATTCGTTTGTAATTGTGACCGGTAATAATATGCCGTCCATGGCAGTAAATGATGGATGGAATATTATTAACAGTCACAATTAACGATTTAAACGAAATACTTTGTAAATAAATCCAGGTTTCCCCGATAATATTGGTCTGTGCGCAGATGCTGAGGTCGGCAAATTTGACATTGGCAGCGTTCTCGACAGAACACCAGTATCTGCGCTTAGTATCGGGGTATTTTCATGAGTACTCTTGAAAATGCCCAGTATTGGCACTTTTTCATCCCTACTTAATAATATAATGCATTGCTGGGACTTGTAGTCCCGCATAGTTGGTGCTATTCTGCATTACTGTATAATCATCATACAACAATGCAGAATACCACCAGCTAGGCGGGACTACAAGTCCCAGCAATACATTATAATAAAAATCAGCAATACAGAATACCACCAGCTTCTCAGCCCCCCTTTCTCTGCGCCACCATCACCCCCTTCCCGGTCCAGACTTACCTGACCTGACTTCCAGCACCTTACCAGCACCTTTTTCCTTGTCTCGGCGGCCAGGGGGCGGGACGAGGTGGAGAGGGTCTTCTCCCACAGCAGAATGTGCTGCCTGGTGGTGCCTGCTGAACAAGTAACAGCCTCTCCAGCCCTGCACAGCTGCCAATACATGCTGCGAGTGGCAGATCGTCGAGAAAGGAGTGGACAGTAAGACAAAAGGGCCAGCTCTAGTGTGTGAGTGTTGAACAGACAGTGGCCTCGATGGTGTGTGAACTGTCACAGCACTGCCTCCTGGTCCCGGTGGAACTGCGGGGGGGAAGAAAGATAGTGAGTGTGTGTAATTCTTATAATAAGAACACACAAGGGCGCAATAACCTTGATGGTGTATATTCTAAAGACTACCTGTCTCTATGTTAAAAAAGGGAGTGCACTTACATATAAATCCAGGAACTGGACGAAGGGCGGCCTTAATGGAGGATCGGGTTGACCAGTATGTATTGCTCCACGATGCTGGTGTATACGGCCAGTAAGTGCCCGCCAGGTGTGGACGGTGCGAGGTGCAAGGCAGAGGAGGGATGAATAGAGAGAGGAGTCGGTCCGTGTTCCTGTAGTGTGTGCGATCGGATGGATCTTAATGGAGCGTCAGTGCAGTGCTAGATTTAATATCGGCACTTGGTCGGACTGAGCAGCTGTAGAAGGCAGTGAGGGCGCTCAGTGCATGATGGTGTCCATGCCTGTGAGTCCTGCTGGAGTCAGCAGCATATAAGTCGTCTGACAGCGATGGTGGAAAGGTGCTGTCGGGGCGGCATGCAGCCAAGGAAAGGTGATACTGATGTTGGTACTAAGAGTGGGGGACATGGGTGCACTTTCTGGCCGGATACTCCATACATACCAGCAGCGTGGAGCAATACATATTAGTCAACCCGATCCTGCCCTTTGTCCAGTTCCTAGATATATGCAAGTGCACCACCTTTTTCCCCCTTTTTTGACATAGAGACAGGTAGTCTTTAGAATATACACCATCAAGGTTATTGCGCCCTTGTGTGTTCTTATTGTTGTATTGTTTACAGGCATTCTTCTCCTGTTTTTTTAGGGCTGCAGGGGTAATTTATCAACGTCATTAATATGCTCACACTTGGAGACTCGGATACATAGAGTTAGGACCACACTTTGCAGAGGTGCCTTGGCGCGGCAGTGTGGCTTCTACATATTTTTGGCCAAAAGTTTGTGCAACTAAAACCTCTGATTTTAATGCATACTGTTGACAGGGCTACTTGTTTGGTTGCAGGCTGGCTGGCTGGCAGGCTGAGGCTGGGGAATTTTTGTGTTTTGTATTGTTGTAAGCCTTCCCAATGTGCGCCCTGCTATAAAGGCCGGTTATAGATTCATGCATGTACCATTTTTTCTAGTGAACCTAGCACCCCTTTGGAGACCTTCTGCACCCCTCCGCACCGCTCCTGAAAGCCTCCGCACCCCTTCTGAGACGCTCCACCGCATCCCTTCTGAGACCCCTGCACCCCTTTTGAGACCCTGTGCACTGCTGCTGAGACCCTCCACACCCCTTCTGAGACACTCCGCACCCCTTCTAAGACCCTCTGCACCCCTACTGAGACCCTCCACCCCCTTCCAGAGACCCTCCACCTGAGACATCAGGCCAGCAACCCAGAGCAGAGCGGCAGCACAGGGTATGTAGCAAATTCATATACTATGATTCTGCGCTGCTGTATAATGTTTTGCTGGGATTTGTTGTCCTCTATAGCTGATGGTATTTTTCTGCATTGCTGCATAATTTATTGCTGGGATTTGTAGTCCGCTATAGCCAGCGCCATTCTGCATAATGTATTGCTGGGAGTTGTAGTCTGTTATAGCTGTTGCCATTCTGCATTGCTGCATAATTTATTGCTGGGATTTGTAGTCCTTTATACAGTGGCAGAACTACCAGGGTCACAGCGGTCGG